GACGAACCCTTGCCCCCTGAAGGTTGGCGTCCTCGCCCAACGAAAGTTTGGACAACCACGGTTGCACCTTGTCCTCACTCTCGAAAAAGAAGCGAAACTCCTCCAGGTTCTGGAGCCGGGCTTTGACCAAAGCATCGGTGACCGCTTCAGCTATGCTGAAGTTAATCCCTAACTGGCGGAAAGTAGCCGCAGCATCCGCACCGTCACTCGGCACGAGTTGCAAGCTAGACGCCATGAGGGGACACAGGGACCCTCCCTAGGTAAAGTGAGGACCCACCTCACACAGTGGTACCACGAGGACCCACCTCGCCTCTGTCGGCCAAAAGGAGCTGGCGAGGCGGAGATCCTAGGTGCACATGGACAACATGCAGGCATTTCAGCGCTGGAAACAACCCAGATCAATCACACACTGCTTGTGTCAAAAGGCCTTGAACCCCCGGCCACACAGGATAACCCCCCAAAAAGAAAAACAGCGACACAGCAAAAGACTCACTGACCCTCAGGGTTCTTTCCGCTGATGGCGCGCTCTCCGGTCGCCTCGGTAGTCTACACATGACGTAGTCTACAAAAAGGGGCATCTACGGAGGCCGCATGCTCTTATGGGGCGCAGCCGTCCCGCGACCACTAGGCCGGCCGGCTGCTCAGCAGCTCAATGTCGCGCTTGCCAGGAGGCTGGGGCTTTGCTCCAGCACGGTCCGCACACCGGACGGGCAAACGTACTCGCTTCCATGAAGCTGCTGTAGAAGTGGGCGTCTTTGAGCCGCTGCTGAACTCGAGCTTCGCCTTGCTTGAATTGGCGCAGAGCGACACGGCCTTCAGTGCACAGGTGGATGTTGGAACGTTCAGAAGCAAGATATCCAGCAGGCTTCGGGTGTACTTGTGGCAACGACAGAGTGCGCCTCGTCGTGTATAGCCACTGCGCTGCCGTGCGATCTCTGCAGAACTTGTGGAACTCCACACAAGGCCGCATCTTCGTGATCTTCTCGGCTGCTTCATCCACTGAGGTGCCCATCATGAGTGCATAGATGAGAGCTGTACAGGCAGGAGCTCGGTGCTTGCCAGCCATGCAGTGCACGAGCAATGTAGACTCTGATGAATGAGAGGCCATGCAGTCTTGAACTCTTGGTCCATGCGCTTGCTGCCCATCTGAACCTTCATGACGCATGCCTGCGGCACTGACACGCCTCCCCGACCCTCGGGGTATTGTGGTAGGCAAGCGATCTGGAGGTGAGTGTTTGGAAAGTGCTGCACCGTCTCAGCAATGGGAATACCCGATAGCCACAGCTGGCCTCCTGACCGGGTCGTCATGATCAGGGTAGGGGCGAGAGTGTCACGCCCTTCAGAGGTGGCCAAACCGTCCCAATGCGACTGCTGAGGACCTGGCGACACAGCTGGGATGGGCAGAGTACTCGGCGCTGGCTCTGAAGGCTGTCTCCAAGGGGGAGTCCTGGCCAGTGGCGGTGGTGACGGATCTCTCGGACCTCTGGGCCTCTTCTTGGCCGATGTGGCAATCAGCTTGGGCGGAACTGCCTTGTGTGGGAGCGCCTTCGGAGGCGTCTTGGGCCGTGGAGATGGTGCCTCTGCTGCATCTGGCCGAGCGCTCGGCTGGGGTGAAGCCTCTCGTCTGCGCTTGGTGCTCGCGGAGGGTTTGGCCTTCGAGGACGTAGTAGTAGTAGCCGGTGTCGTCGACGCTCGAACTGGAACTGGCGTCTCGTCCGGCAAATACTTCTTTTCGGTGCAAATAAAGGCACACAAGTCCGCCCCCGGGCCAAAAGCACAGCGCAGAGGTGAGCGTTCCCGCAAACCCCTTCTCCCTCTGCGCAACCTTCGGGCGTCTGGAAAGCCCCGCAAAGGCGACGCCCATTCTTCAAGAAAGCCGTCAGCACGCGGCCACGGATGGCATCCGGCATGGACACCGTCGGGCGCGAGGTGCTTCCTCGGATTTTGTTGGCCGCTGCTGTTGCGACCCGGGAACTGAAGATGCGTCTCCTTGTCCTTCGCTATGGCGAAGGCGCGCGATTCTTTGGCCACCTCACGGAAACCGTCCAAGTCAGCAGGAAGCACCTCCTCCCAAAAGCTGTGACCCTCACAGCTGTGGGCTCCTTTGACTTGTCCTGCCAATCACCGAGGGAGCAAAGGTCAGAATGTGGCCCACGGTGGGAAGCATGCATCTCCACGAGTAGGTGGTCAGCTGCTCGGTATTGTCCAGGAACTCGGCGAAGATGGACTGCAGAGGTGCTGCACCTCGGCGATGTTCCAAGGCGTCCCACGCCTGTGAAAGCAAATTCCTGAACTTTTCTGGGCCACCGGAGAAAGGGCCTTCCAGGCTTTGAGCCAATCAACCGTCCAGTTGAAGCCTGAAGCAAACTCGGCAGGAGCACACCAGTCAAATCCACCTCGGGCGTGACGCTGCTTGCCTTTGCGACAGTGGTGATGGAACACCAACGGACTGATTCGACGAACAGTGGACCGACGAAGATGTTGGTACCTGAAGCAACCAGTAGCCACCAGCCAGGAGCCTAAGAGACATGTCCATCGCGGGTCCCCCCCACGGCACATGCTCTCAATGCGCTCCTCCAACAACTGCAGCATGCCGGGCTCCACAACAAGGGCTTGACTCTTCGTAGAGGTGGCCTTCTTCTTCAACTCAGGGGAGATACGAAGCCGGCCGATGTCCCAAGAAGCTCCTGAATGCTTGCACAACCAGCGAAGCGCATTGAGTGCGCGGGTAGGGGCCATCGTCCCCTGATGCAGGAAGTTGTCCATGTCCACGAAGGCCGGAGGGAACGACCTCCCACGGTGGAGCAAAAAGGCCTGGAGCTCCCCGTAAGTGCGGAGGGCATTCTGAATCGTCACCGACTCAGACTCCGCCACCTTCTTCTGGGCCAAACGAAGGACGGATGCCTGCCAATCCCGCTTCAGGGCCTCAGTCAACAGCCCATCCGGCTTCAAGGCGCCAACTGTCAGGAACACCTTCTGCAGGGCCAACACCTGGCGCTGTATGGACTCAGGCTGATCCTGGACGCGCTCATGAACCGATCAGACGAGCAGCTGCAGGAAGAAGTTCCTCCTGTTGGGCAACACGGACTGCCAGCCAAGCATCTGCCAAGAAATGGCCTCCCACGGCCACCGCTTCCTCCCAGGTAGAGAAGGCAAATGCGAAGTCCTCGTCCTTCTCATAGCCACGCTCACGCCGCCAGGTAATGGCGCGAGCCGCTGCCACTCGGGCGAGGCTGTCCTCCGCCCGCCACCCAGAGGACGAGGCTGGCTCATCCGGCGGAGCCTCCACAGCTCCAGTGACTTGCGCACGGTACACCATGGCTTGCGCACCCGCTGAACTACCCACTATCGTCATCAGACGACGAAAGTTCGCGGCAACCCGGACAGATTTGGAGAACTGGGAAGCATGCGGAACACACTCCTTTGATACAACCAAGGCACTGCCGATAAGTGGGATCACCACAGCCGCAACACGCTGGAGGAAACTCAGACTCTCCGTTGATTGAGGATCCCAACCATCCACGAAGGGCTCGATGGGCACGAATCTTCGGGTGAAGGGCGTCCAGATGGCGCGGCAAGTGCTCTATATCTGGCAGCGGGGCACGAAAGGGGTTGGACCACAACCCGTGTGGTGATCCCAAAATCCAGCGCCGCATGTAGTAGAGAACTTCAGATTGAAACGTTTGCAGGGGCAAGAGGTCAAAATCCCCGGGAACCTTCTGCTGGAACTCCCACAAGTAGGAGGGCACAAACTTGTCTGCAGAGTACGGGGTACGGTAGGGCTGCAACAAGAGGAGGTCCATCGAGGCGTCCAACCGAGCATGCCTATCCCAGGCCTGCTGAGGAGTGAACCCTGGTGGCACGATCATCCCGCGCCGGTTCCAAATCCCGACCCACAGGAAGACATAGCCCCCTCGCCCCTGATCGCACCGTGGGCATACACTCTTGGGACAGACGGAAATCCGCATAGGGGGAAAACCAGCTGGCCCGTCCCCCGGGCGTGAAGACGGAGGCATGTGTTCAAATAGAACCACCGAGCTCCAAAGCCGCACCGCGCCTGCCCGGTCCCCCCGGGCCAAAAGGGCATCGACCTGGCGACGGAGCTCGATGAACGCGGCGGACGAAAGCACCTCAGCATCCGTGAACATGGCGACATGCACACCGACGATATGCTGTGAAGCCATCCACAGCAAACACAGCAAAACTTAAGCAGAACAGAAACTCCACTGTCCCACTTTTGGCTTGAGCCAAAATGGACAGTGTACCAAATGTAATGAAGACTGTGCACCCAAACCTGCCCAAAGCTCGACACAGTTTTACAATAGGTTTCTTCCGCCATGTTTCTAGATCCTAGTCTCTATCTCAAGGTTGGGGAGTTGCTGTACAGATCTAGAGGAAACGAAAAGCTAAGGGTATTACACCTGCAAAGCTTGCAAGGGTGCTGTTTTAGTTGGCTTCTTTTGCGTTGCGCTTGGTATCTTGAATTTTTGTGCTGTCGTGGCTTCTCTATAGTTTCTCCAGTGTAAGCAATGAAAAGCAAAGGAAAAGCAGGGAAACGGGAAAAGCAAGTCAGTGACAAGCACAAAAAGCCGGAAAAAACCAGAAAAGCAGGAGCAACCCCCAAAGAAGGAAGGAAGAGTGAGAAAAAGCAAAACAAGCACAAAAAAGCAAGAAACGCCGGAGAAATCATGGAGAAGCAACAAAAAGCCAGAAAAGCAACAAGAAGCAGATCCAACAAAAACATATCCTTATCTCAACGCAACACAAAGGTCCAAATAAAAACTCCCTATACAAACGTATGGTTGAGGAGAATTAACTTTGTTGCTTGCTACATATACCCTACATAGGTGGCCAGCAGAAGTCCAGTGAGGCTCAAGGCTTTGAATTTGGTTCTAGGCTACGCCTTCAGCAGGGCTGCGAGAGCTTCCTGGCCCACATTCTCAGCTCAAAAAGGATTATATAGCTGATTAGCACAGTCATGGACACAGGTCTCTTGCCTTTTAATTGACCATCCAAACCGGAAAGCATCTGGCCTTTTCTCATAGCCGCCTTCCAGAATTCAAGGAGATGAAGCAGAGCGCGCCATCTAGATGTGACGGCTCATTGGCCTTTGTGGCTAACGTGACTGCCCTACCTTTCACACTGCGGGCATAATCATCTTCCACCAAGCAAGTATGCTACGCTCGAAATGACAAAAGTTATCAAAATAGCATGTCTCACCAAACTGTCCCATATAAAATTCCAGCCGAAAATTCTGTACATCACATAAAAATAAAATAACGACATGTCAAAAAGGCGATCTGGCCTCAGAAAGCCACGACCAAGTCCTCTGACATAAAGCGCGCACCAGATCATGTCCCAAATGTTCGGCTGCATTTGCTTGTTGGGGCACAACCCCTCCCACTCTGCACAAGCAAATTTGGAAATACTGTTCGGAGTCTGATAGCAATCTTCCGCTGAAGTTTCGTTCAAGTTTCCCAAGCATGACTGAGAAAACTCATTAATGCGATTTTGATACTGATCAAGAAGTATGTGCTTCTCATCCTCGGGGGCAAAAGAATACTTGAGAGAGTCGAAGCCCATCTGAAAGAAAGCATCAAACAGTTTCTCTGATGGAATCAATGTAGCAGCCAGCATGTACTCGTCGGTCAGTGTAGAGCCCCACATGGCAGAGTCGTCCGTGCAAAGGCAGGTCGAAATGTGGTGCTGCAAGAAACGAAGCAAAGGATGTTCTTTTGCACCCAGAATGTCAAGTGCTTTGTTGGAAACAAGGTTTGTTTCAATCAAAATGTCACGCGTACGCACGCGTTTTAGCGTCTCTTCCATAATGTTGCCATCATCCAACCAGTTGAGACCATGTCCGATACGACTTGCATTAAACTTCTCAATGGCATCAAGAACGTTCCAGTTCTTGCATCTCAGTTCCCCGGCATGCACTGACCATCGGCAGCTCTTGCATGCTGATAGATGAGCGGAAATCTTCGGTGTGACAAGTAAGTCAAGAGACCCGCGATCATCGTGTTCAGGACCCACTATGTTGCCACCCACCCAACGGGGAAAATTCCCTGAATCCAGAAAAGAAATCACTTTTAGCAAACGCTGCTGAGCATGATCGTGTGTGCGGGGCACATGCTGCTGGAAGTACACAACCACTCCGCTGTCAACCGCATCTGTTTCACGCAAGCGTTTTTCAATATAGCTCAAAGCATCCGATTGTTTGACCTCTGAACAATTTTTGTCAAATTTCAACCCCGTCATAGTCTCCAGGTAAACAGCATTTTCCTTTCCCAACTGTTTCATCCAATATACCAGTATCTCTGTCTTCACATACAAATTGTCAGTCAAGCCTCCCAGGACCTTGAAGGACTTGTCATAGAAGTGGTGTCTTGAATCTTCTCCTTTCCCTCTTTCCAGCACAAGAACATTGTTCACCCATTCTTTTTGCTCGGTCTTCGAGAGCTCCTGAAGTTGTTTGAACTGCCCACGTTCTTGCCGTTCAAGTTGTGCATGTTTGCATGCGGGAATAGTCTCCCACAGAACTGCACCGCGACTACTGTGAGGATTCACCTCATGTCGGGTGTAGAAATGTTCTCCTCGTGTCAATTTGTAGTCCCTCCCAAACCGAAGCCATACCTTGGCGTGCCCAGTACCAGAAAGATGGTTGTGAATGTCACCACCCTTGGGAAAATGTGAAAGCAACCCGATCTGCCTTTTGTGCCCAATTTTTCCCACAGCGCAGCAAAGGCTTCTCCTTCAGAACCATAACCAAAGCATCCATGAACGAAAACGGCATTCAGCAAAATGCGCATGTGTAAAGAATGCTGAAGAACCAGAAAACGCTCCTGCGCACGCAGCAACACCTCACAAAAAGTCAACTCTAAAATGAAATGTTGCATCTGTTTCATCCAAGAAACTAGACGACGGACGGCCCGAGAGCGTTCAGGTGTAGAGTTACTCTGGCGTAAGGCGTGCTTGCATGGCGACGAAACCTTAAAGCAAAGAGAGGTGGGAGAGGGTGAACGAGAAAATGAAGGAGCGTGGCAGAAAAGAATGGGATGAACAACTAGACGACGGGTGGCCCGAGAGCGAGACATGTGATTGTCCAGCGCTGTGGAAAAGATATATAGAAAGAGAGAAAGAAAGGATGGACGTGAAGGAGTGACAGTCTGGATGTGCAGGTGCGATACAGATGTGTAGATGTATGGAGGTGGAGAGGTAGATCTGTGGATGCGAGCGTGCGAAGATGTAAATGGACAGAGGCGAGAGAAAAGATATGTCTTAGGTTCGTAAGAAGCCAGTCTCACTTCAAACGGCTCAAAACAAGTCATTCCCATTTCAAGAATCTCACTTCAAACGGCTCAAAACAAGTCAGTCCCAATTCAAGAAAAACAAGATTGAAGCCACGAACCCGAATGAATCACACGTACAACCCATCGCGAGACCACTGCAAAAACAATCTTTTCGTCACACATGTGGTTGCTGCGAGCGCGTCGTCGGCCACGTGGCCTGACACACACTAGACGCAGTCACGCGAGTGTTTCGTACGAGACTTCCTCCAAAAGTCGCGCTTCGAGGCTGCAAGACGAGCCTTTCGTACGAGACTTCGTGTCAAGTCTCCAAAACGAGCAGTTCGTACAAAACTTCCTCCAAAAGTCACACGTCAAGTCTCCAAAACGAGCGTTTCGTACGAGACTTCCTCAAAAAGTCACACGTCAGGTCTCCAAAACGAGCCTTTCGTACGAGACTTCCTCAAAAACTCACAC